ATTCACACACATTGTTTTAGGCAATGCTAAAAGTGCATTTGTGTTTGTGGCATCCACATTAAATTAAATGCTTGTATATGTACATTAGGGGTTAATATGCTTACTTTCTTTTTTACTTTTATTGTACATATTAAATTAACTTACATTTAATGATGTAAAATAATTCAAAGCTTCTTTTAATTGACCTGACATTATTTTTTAAAAAGTTACAGCCATCAAGATCACAGCAAAAACTGTTTATCTTGGGAGTATAATATATTTCCAGTAATATAAAATACTTCTATGTGCTAGAGTACCTTCTATGTGCTAGACACTATACTAGCTACTAGAAATACTAAGATGAATCTAAGATAATAGAGAAAAAACACTTCTGTCTCAGTTCTCTAAAAATTTCACTATAAAACAACGAGGAAAAACAAATTGAAACAACAACTCCACCTTGGAAGAACTAAGAGCTAAATGTAACTGACTTAGCAGTCTCCTCCCAGGCAGATGTAACCACAGAACTCTGGGAAGACTCAGGGGGTGGAGACACCAGGTATTACAGAGGCGAGCTTTAAATTTTAAGAATGGTTATGCCTCCATATCTCTGTTTCTCTTCTCCCACAACTATAGGAGATGAGAGGGCTATTCATTGGAGAAATTAAACCAAAGAGGCCCTGGACTAGAAACACCAAAAATAACAGAGTGAAGAGGAGGATGAAAAGAGGGAGAGTAAATAGTATGCTGACATCACCCCTTGGAATCCCAGAACATCGGCAGCCAGCCAAGCTACCCCAGCCCCACCCTAGGCAAGAAACTCAAGATTCTTCTCTGAAAAAGCTGTACAACCCCAAAAGAAAAGATCTACAGATAGTGAGATAGAGAACTCCTCTGTGAAAAAGCCAGCCTGTCCTCCAATCCACTAAGAATGAGGCGAACTAGATTCCATGCCCTGTCTATATAAGCACAGGACTTCTAGACGGCATTAGAGTGACTGTTACACATGGTCCAGATCACTAGACATTTGAGGAAATGGTGGCAGTGCAAAGAGTAGAAGGAAAAACGGTAACAATCTAACTCTGTAATTATCAGTCCCAGGAAGATAAGAAAGACGTCTATAACACAACAACAGTATTGGGGGGGGCAGGGAGGGAGGTGTAGTAGGGAGGACACATGGAGACATGACTTGATGACTTAGGGTGGTGAACACACAATACAGGGCACAGATGATGTGTTGTGGAAGTGTACACCTGAAACCTATATAATTTTGTTCACCATTGTCACCCTAATACATTTAACAAAAAGAGGAAAAAAAAAAGAACAGTATGTCCCACCAAAGGGACAATCACAGAAGGGCTCTTGAAAATTAAAACTGAAAAGGCAAAATTTTAAACATTAATACAGAGCCTGGAAGATTAAAAAATCTAAGTACATATAAACCAATTAAAAAAACAATTAATAGGATTATTCATTTAATAAATCAGTGTTGACACTACTGTATCCCAAACTAGTATGCCATACTAATTTATTCAATGGATTCTCAAATTCTTGCTTTAATTAGAAGTAGCGATAAAACTGCATTGGAAAGGTAAGAGATAAGAGAGCTAAATCATCATCTACCATAATAAGAAGTTAACTAATAGTTTCTAATACCATAGAAACATGAGAATAACATAGGAATATTCTTTAGAATTATGTGAGTAATACGATACCAAAGAGATGAAAGTGGCACAGATTGCTTCTGGCACAGATTAAAGGGTTAGAAAGAAGAGACACAACACAGGATTGTTTTAGCACTATAGGCATGTATTCCACTTTGATAAAAACAGATTAATTTTAAAAGGTCAATATGATACCACCCCTGTTTTTAAGTTTATATTCTATTAGAAGAGACATGCAACGCAACAATTGTAGTAGCACATACTACATGACATAATGGAAGCAATGTGAATAGCATAGAGGATCCTATCTCTGTCAAGTGAGTACACTTGAGTACACTTGATACGAGTACACTCGTATCTCCGAGACGAGGAGACACTTGAACTTCAGTTTTAGGGGTGAAAAAGAATTAACTGGTCAGAGAGAGGATGATGAGTATTTCACCCAGCAATAGTCTAACTTTTCTTTCTAAAACACAAATGAGACTTCACCAAGATGGAGACATAGGTGGAAACACTGCCTTCTTGCACAACCAAGTTTAAAAACAACAAAACACAAACCAAAGTTTAGTAACAAAAAAACACAGCCAAAACGCAGACAAACCACAGAAAATTGAATTATACTGAAGTCCGACAAGGAACCATTCAGCCAGACCAGTAAGAGGGGTGGAGCCAGCAGATGAGTGGGTCAGGCAAAAAAGATCCCCTGACCCAGGCGCGTAGGCAGCCAAGGGTGGATCCCAGGTGTGGGGTTGTAACGGGCAAATCCAGTGAAGGCCCAAGGAGGCAGGCTGACCTCGGTCACACATTCGTGCACAAATAAACTAGCCAAGGAGAGAGCATTGAGAGAGACGGCACAGGCCCCAGTGGCGGGAAGCAGCAGAGGGGACTGCTATTACTCCCTCTCTGACCCCACCCCCACATACATCACAACCCAGCAACCTGGGTGGCTTCGCCCTGGTGAACACCTAAAGCTCCCCTCCTCATATGTAACAGGCTAGAACAGACCAAAACATGGCTCAAAAATAACTCAACCCCCCAGGGCCAATAACTCTTAAGCTACCAAGAAATTGCCAACCTTTCAGATGCACAATTCAAAACACTGGTGATCAGGATGCTCACAGACTGGTTGATCTTAGTCACAAATTAGAGGAACATATGAAGGCTAAACTAACTGAAATGAAGGGAAATGCACAGGAAACCAATAGTGATGGGAAGGAAACTGGGACTCAAATCAAGGGAGTGGACCAGAAGGAAGAAAAAAATGACCAAACAGAAAAGGATGAAGAAACAAGAATTCAAAAAAATGAGGAGAGGCTTAGGAACCTCCAGGACATCTTTAAATACTCCAACATCCGAATTATAGGGGTACCAGAAGGGGAAGAGGAACAGCCATGAGTGGAAAGCTTATTTGAACAAATAATAAAGGAGAACTTCCCCAATCTGGCAAAGGAAATAGACTTCCAGGAAATCCAGGAAGCTCAGAGAGTCCCAAAGAAGTTGGACCCAAGAAGGAACACACCAAGCCACATCATCATTACATTAGTCAAGATTAAAATGAAGGAGAGAATCCTAGAAGCAGCAAGACATAGGGGGACAGTCACCTACAAAGGAGTTCCCATCAGACTGTCAGCTGATTTCTCAAAAGAGACTTTACAGGCAAGAAGGGGCTGGAAAGAAGTATTCCAAGTCATGAAATCCAAAGACCTACAACCAAGATTGCTCTATTCAGCAAAGCTTTCATTTAGAATGGAAGGACAGATAAAGTGCTTCTCAGATAAGATCAAATTCAAGGAGTTCATCATCTCCAAACCCTTATTATATGAAATGTTAAAGGGACTTATCTAAGAAAAAGAAGATAAAAAATATGAACAGTGAAAGGACAGCAAACTCACAGTTATTAACAACCACATCTAAAACAAAAGAAAACTAAGAAGACAGCTAGATCAGGAGCAAACCATAGAAATAAAGGTCACATGGAGGGTTAGCAACAGGGGAGTGGGAGGAGGAGAAGGGGGGAGAAGGTACAGAAAATAAGTAGCATAGACAGTAGATAGAAAATAGATAGGGGGAGGGCAAGAATAGTAGGGGAAATATGGAATCTAAAGAACTTGAGACACGTGGTCCGAAACTAAAGGGGGGGGTGGGGGAGGGGGTGTGCAGGGTGGAGGGGAATGAAGGGGAGGAAACAGAACAACTGTAATGGCATAATCAATAAAATACATTTTTTAAAAAACCACAAATGATAGCATTCTATAAATGTACTTTTGCAACCTATTTTTTTCACTTCATACATTGTAGAGACTTTCCTCAAAAAGCCCTTAAGAATAATTTTTAGTTTCTCAAGGTTGTTTTACTGAAGTCTCATATAAAGAAAGATAATCTATTTTTAATTTGCTAAATATCCATTTTTTATTCACAACTATAATACATACTTCTTATAAAAAACTAAACAGTATAAAAAATAAAAAATTAAAAACCTGCTCTGGCTGGTGTGGCTCAGTGCACTGAGCACCAGCCTGCAAACCAAAGGGCTGCTGGTTCGACTCCCAGTTAGGGCACATGCCTGGGTTGCAGGCCAGGTCCCCGGTGGGGGATGCATGAGAGGGAACCACACACTGATGTTTTTCTCTCTTTCTCCTTCCCTTCCCCTCTGTATAAAAATAAAATCTTTTAAAAATATTTTAAAATCCCTTTGTTCCTCCTCACAAACTTTCCAAGGATAAGCACTTTTAATTTCCTCCTAGGCCATTTTCTATAAAAGTGGTAATATACATATACAGAGTGGGGCAAAAATAGGTTTATAGTTGTAAGTACACAAAACAGACTTGATTCTTGTATTATATTTATTAATTCTTGTATTATTTTCTATATGAACAAATGTAAACCTACTTTTGCTCCACCCTGTATATAAATACCATTGGATATCAGCAAATGTAATATAAAATAATGCTTTATATACCTAGTATACCTTATGCATACACCAGATTATACACAAAGAATACATTTATAATCTTTACTTTTATCCTCACCAAAGGATATGTTTATTCATTTAGAGAGAGAGGAAGGAAGGGAGGGAGGAAAGAAGGGGGAGGGGAAGAGAGAGAGAGATAAAGAGGGAGAAGAGAGAGAGAGAGAAATATTGGTAAGTTGCTTCCCAGGTACACACCCTGACTAGGGGATCAAACAAACAATCTAGGTATGTGCCCTGACCAGGAATTGAACCCACAATATTTTGGTGTACAGGATGACACCAAACAACTGAACCACCAGCCAGGGCCCACATATTCTTTAAAGTCTCTTACAGTCAAGGACTTTGTGGTAAGAAATATTAAGAAACTCTACAGCATGTTGCCTTACCAACACAATCACAGCACTCATCCCAAAGGGTCCCAAGACACAGCATACACTCCTTGCAGCAAGAACAATTTCCTTCTCCAGGTCGGCACTGGCAGAGCTCCTAAAAATAAGACAGATGTTCAAACTTAAAATTCCAAATAACTATATTTAAAATTGTTAATTTTTTTGCAGTAAAAAATAGTATTTGCATTTATAGTAATTTACTCTTCATTTTTTATTAAAAATAATTAATTGTTAAAGGAATGTAAATACCCACCATGTCAAGTACATTTGTATTTTCTTTTTTTTTTAAAGTATATTTTGTTACCCTGGCTGGTGTAGCTCAGTGGACTGAACAGGGGGGCCTGTGAACCAAAGGGTTACCAGTTCAATTCCTAGTCAAGGCACATTCCTGGGTTGTAGGCTAGGTCCCCAGTAGGGGGTGTGAGAGAGGCAACCACACAATGATGTTACTCTCCCTTTCTCCTTCCCTTTCCCTCTAAAAATAAAGAAAATCTTGTTAAAAATACAGTATACTTTATTGATTATGCTATTACAGTTGTCCCATTTGTTTTCTACCCTTTATTCCCCTCCACCCTATACTTCCCCTCCCACCAGCATCCTCACCCCTTAGTTCATGTCCATGGGTTGTACATACAAGTTCTTTGGCTTTATTTCCTATACTATTCTTAACCTTCCTTGTCTATTTTGTACCTATCCCTTATGCTTCTTTTTCCCTGTACCTTTGCCCCCATTTCCCCTCTTCCCCCTCCCACTGATAACCTTCCGTGTGATCTCCATTTCTGTGATTCAGTTCCTGTTCTACTTGTTTTTGTAGTTTGTTTTGGTTTCCGTTTTTGTTTTAGGTTCAGTTGTTGATAGTTACGAGATTGTTGTCATTTTACTGTCCATATTTTTTATCACCTTTTTTTTCTTAGATAAGCCCCTTTAGCATTTCACAGAGTAAGAGCTTGGTGATGATGAACTCCTTCTACTTGACCTTATCTGAGAAGCACTTTATCTGCCCTTCCATTCTAAATGAAAGCTTTGCTGGGTAGAGGAATCTTGGACGTAGGTCCTTCCCTTTCATGACTTCAAATACTTCTCTCCAGCCCCTTCTTGCCTGCAAGGTTTCTTTTGAAAAATCAGCTGATAGTCTAATGGAAATTCTTTTGTAGGTAACTCTCTCCTTTTCTCTTGCTTCTTTTAAGATTCTTTCATCTTTAATTTTGGGTAATGTAATTAAGATGTGTGTTGGTCTGTGCTTCCTTGGGTTCAACTTCTTTGGGACCCTCTGAGCTTCCTGGACTTCCTGGAAATCTAGTTACTTTGCCAGATTGGAGAAGTTCTCCTTCATTATTTTTTCAAATAAGATTTCAATTTCTCTCTCTTCCTCTTCTCCTTCTGGTACCCCTACGATTCAGATGTTGGAACATTTAAAGTTGTCCTGGAGATTCGTAAGTCTCTCTTTTTTTTTGAATTCTTGTTTCTTCATTCTGTTCTGGTTGAATGCTTATTTCTTCCTTCTATTCCAAATCATTGATTTGAGTCCTGGTTTCCTTCCCTTCACTGTTGGTTCCCTGTATATTTTTCTTTACTTCACTTTGCATAGTCTTCGATTTTTCCTCTGTTTTGCAACCATACCCAACCATTTCTGTGAGCATCCTGATGACCAGTTTGAACTGTTCATCTGATAGGTTGGCTATCTCTTCATGGCTTAGTTCTATTTTTGGAGTTTTGATCTGTTCTTTCATTTGGGCCATATTTCTTTGTCTCAGCACGCTTGTTATGTTGTAAGTGGCAGAGCCTTAGGTATTCGCCATGGTGGGGCAACCCACATTGCTGCTGTCTGACACTGTATGTGGGGGAGGGGTCCACCAGGGAACAATGGCTCTTGCTAGGCTTTCAGTCACTTCCCCTGTTACCCACAAGCAAATTGGGCCTTTCCAGTACTGATTCCCTGGTGAGTGGTTTTGTGTACATTCTAGGACCTTGGGGTCTCTATAGGGAACTCTCTTGTGAGGGTGGGTGTTTCTCCTACTGCTACAACCCCCATGGGTTCTTACAGCCAGAGTTTTTGAGGCTTCATTTCCCAATGCTGGAATCCTGGGTTGTGTAGTCTGTTTAGCTCCCCAGTTGTTCCTCCCATTTATCCACATGCAAATGTGGGACCGCCTGCTCTCTGAGCTGCCACCTTGCCCACCACAGTGGGCAAGGATGGTCCTCCAACCACCACAGTGCTCCAGGGCCTCTCCACCGCAGCTGCCCATCTCTGCCTCTCCTACCAGTCTGGATGAATATTTCTTCTTTAACTCCTTGGTTGTTGGACTTCGATACAGTTAAATTTTCTGACAGTTTGGGTTATTTTTTGTTTTAAGTTTGTTGTTATCCTTCTTTTGGTTATGCAAGGAGGCAAAGTGCATCTACCTATGCTCCATCTTGGCCAGAAGTTCTGTATTTTCTTCTGGACACATTTAGTGAGCACATTTTGGATCTACCTTATTTTGAAATATTTATACAGTAAAACATTTTACCTTATAACCAATAACTTTATTCCCATACACTACCTTAAAAAGTAATTTAATACAAGCACAAAATCTGCTTTTCGGCTATTAGTTTCATTGTTCAAATTAATCTCAATGAAGAGGCAACCTGAAGCAGTAGCTATGGTTTCTCAATGTATAGAGTGTGAACAAAAGCATCCTATAAAAATTGTTATTTTTGTCCTGGACAGACTGCTCAGCTGGTTGGAGCGTCATACTGTGCATGAAACAGTTGTGAGTTTCATCCCCAGTCAGGGGGGTATGCCAAGGTTGCGGGTTCAATCTATGATAGTGGTGCATACAGGAGGCAACTGGTTGATGTTTCTTTTTTTTTTTTTAAGATTTTTATTTATTTATCTTTAGAGGGGAAGGGAAGGAGAGAGGGAGAGAAACATCAATGTATGGTTGCCTTTCATGCATCCCCTGCTGGGAATTGGCCTGCAGGGAACTAGTCTGCAACCCAGGCATGTGCCCTGACTGGGAATCGAACCGCGATTGTCTGGTTCGCAGGCCCGTGCTCAATCCACTGAGCTACACCAGCCAGGGCTGATGTTTCTTTTATATCGATGTTTGTCTCTCTGTCTGTCTCCCCACCCAGCTTCTTCTCGGATGATCACCCTATATGCAAGGGTGAAGATCACCCTATCTGGAAATAGACGTGTCTCATGATCAGAGGAATGGCAATGTTACACTGACAAGAGAGTGAACATAATAGTGAGGGAAAATAACTGCTGTCTTCTTTGTAAACAGTGTATCACACATGCATACTGTTTTAGTATGTTGTATGTCATAAAAATAGCAGTTCTTTTTCTATTTTTTTAAATCTCACCTGAGAGAGAATATGTGTATTGATTTTAGAGAGAGAGGGAGGGAGGGAAGAAGGAATGGGGGAGGAGAGGAGAGAAAAAGACAGAGAGAGAGGTGACATCAAATCTACTCTGAGCATAGTCCTCAAAAAGTAGTGAATGCTTCTACTCTTCCTCCTAGAACGTTGCCCAGCTGCCATGTGTAGCCTGGGAGAAGGCTAGGTTGGCAAGTCGGTCAGCCTGAATCCATCCTAGCTCATCCAGCCTCTAACTAACCAGCAGCTGACAACAGACACAGGAATGGGCCCAGAAAAACCACCCCGCTGATAACAGGTCCAAATTGCCAACCCATAGAAATAAGAGCTAAATAAATGGTTGTAATTTTACACCACTAAACTCTGAGATGGTTTGTTACTTAATGAAAGCTAATTAATACAACTTGCTTTATAAATGAAGATTCAAGGTAATTCTGTTAGCCTTTAACACCAGACAGCCACTCCCAAACAGACCCAAATTAAACCCAAATTCTGTAGCTGCCATTGCCTACTTGGCTTTCCCTGGGTTATGAGGTAGCACATAATATTTACTCCTATTAAATTCATCTCATTACATTTCTAAACTACTGGAGTCACTTCATCATTCTAATATGACGTATTTTTTGCCACTGATATTTAATCACACTGATAATAAAAATGATATGTAATTCCTAGTTTTTTCTTCTCTGAAACTCTCTTAGCTATTACACAGCACTGGAAGAATGAACACTTACGCTATTTTCTAACTAATTTGTTAATTTGGTATCAATTGTATATCTGTAGAGTCAGGCTATTTTTCACATAATGAAGACGATAGGTAACTGCTAGGCCTGTCAGAGAGGGACTAAAAGGGCAGAGGCTTCCTGAGTACAGATGCTTCCTCATAAAACTGGTGATGCTTGATTCAGACAAGCTCAAATGTACTTGGAAATCTATTGTAGAAAAACAGTCACCAAAGGTGTACTTTGTGACTTCTTTCTCCATGAAAACCTGCCTTTAGAATGAGAGAACATTTTTCTGGGTGCACATTTTTTTAAAAAACACTATCAAGAGTTAAGGATATAAATTCTTTTTTGGATTTTAGTTTTTTATAAAGGTTGCCACTTAGTCACAAGAAATAAAGCTTCTTTTAAATTTTGATATACATTTTACATAGAAAATACCCTTCTACTATCTTAGTTGCTTATATTTACATTATCTATTTAACTCAGGAGAAACCAATTAGAAAAGTAACACATTTATTCAAGAATCCATTTCTCCTTTTCCCCATCATGACTTCCAAATGGTAGCCTGTTATATGAATGAATATATATAATGCTAAATAATTTTAAATAAATGTCAATTTAATGTCTTCCATTAGAGAAACTGAGTTTCTAAAAGCATTCATTTTGCCTTTTATTGTCAGGTATTTGTGAGGTGTTTTAAATTGAAACAAAAGGGTGAGTAATATCCTTAAATCACTGCTAACTAATGGAAGGTTAAAACTAGGACTATTTAAAAATTGCTTGAACTTGCCTGGATTACCCAGTCCTCAAGATTCAATCTATTTCACACCCTCTTAATAAATGTCTGTACTTTTACATGTCACTGCAACAGAATAATGTACAATAGTAATATACTTATAGATTATAATATGCTGGTAGAACACAAAGTGGGAGGCTATAGAAAGCTGAAACATGAGGGAAATGACTTAAAGATAAACTTCATTACTAATCTATTAAAAAGACTCCTAAAACT